AAAGAGGCTTCAGTAGAAATTTATTTTAAAAAATATAACCTTTTTCCAATATAAAACCTTATGAAAAAGTCTATTGTGTCAAACAGAAGAACACAATTTGTCTTGGTGGACAGAGCTAGGGAGAAACCTGGCACTCTCCCATGTCAACCTAACAGCGCTGATGCAGCTCAGCAGGACCAAGGCCTCTTGGGAAGAGGACTTAAAAACCCATTACTGTGTTTAACCCGCTTTTCATATTTTAGAAAGGTGACAAGTGCACTAGATGTGATAGACAATGAAGATGTTAGGAGATTCAGACCGCCAATAATTACAAGCAAACACTGAAGACCAACATGTACCATCACCCTTCAATAAATGGAAGACACAGACTCTCAAACATAATGGAGGCTCACCAATACCATCTGACTCCTCCCACCTTAAAATAAAAAAGAAGTCAGGGTAAACAGAATACCTATGTGCTTAAATCTTGTGCTGTTCTGCTGCCCTCTGCTGGGTGCGCATAGTATTTGTAGTCTCAACCTGAGAAATTCCTCTTAGTATAAAACACATTAAGTGTAAGGTCGCTCTCAAATTTCCTGACTCATTGAAAAGGTGACATAAGTTCTATTTTATAGCTTTGCACTTTGGAGTAATTTTAACAGAGCAACAGATGAACCAAAATCCCAGTGTTTTGGTATTATGGAGGAATTCTCTGTATAGTCTAATACTAGTTTTTAGACTGTACATGTTTCCTCTACCAAACTGTCATTTACCTATTAAATGTCCTTTTTCTGAAAGTCTGTAATTTGGGGATAGTTGCATTCACCTTTTGCATGTGTGTGTGCATTATGTCCCACGGCAAACAGGTAAAGGAGGTGGGGTGGGGCTGGCGGTTAAGAAGCCCTTTTTATATGCTTGTTCACAAGATACCTTCCTACATTTTCTTCTAGAAAGTTTATAATTTCATACTTCACAAGAGTTTGGGCTTAATTTTATACTCTTAATCTGGGCAGGTTTAACATGGTCCCTCAAATCTTTGCTTGGGAGTCAGAAAGTGTATGTATAAAACCATCTTTCATTCTGCAGCTTAACAAGTAATAAATTTTACCTATCAATCAATTTGCTTGAATTCATTCTTATAACAAGATTCCTACTGTAGTCCTCTTATTCTTTCTTACTTAGTATTTTTTAGACCATAGTGTTCAATTATTTGCTGCCTTTCTGAACTAAAAGCCAAATCCTACCAAATGAAATAGTCTTTAAACATCCTTTAAACAAGTGGGTTTTACAAAGTGCTCTGGGAGCACTCAAATCACCAATTTATTTGAACTACATTTAACAAACGCACTTTTTAAACTGCTAAAGAAATATGCTATCGAAATGTTATATAGCAAATGCTTACTATACTATATACCATCACATTACCTTATGCTTCCAGGTTTAATCATTTATGTACAGAGGGCAGAATACTCCTCAAAATTTATCTCAACTGAGTAATATATCTTGAATTTGATTTGCTATGGTGAAAAACCGAAGACTTTTGCTTCAGGATGTAGAAAGCAGGAACAACTTTTGCTTCCACATTTATAGCAAAAGCAAGGCTAACTGCATATTCAAGACTTTATGTAAAGCCTGAAATTACAGAAGAAATAACTGATCAAAAACTTAAATTCCCAGAAGTGACAGAAGTGAAACTATCCCAGCTGGGACAGTGTAGCTAGAACAGCTGACAAACTGGTAAACACAGAACGCAGAATGACCTATAGCATCTACCTGGCACTGATCGAAACGATCACTAAGAACTACCTGCTGTGGTACAGACCTAAAAGAGAACAGTGGCCATGACAGCAGAAACCCCACCAGGATCCCTCCCATCTTCACATAAAAGCAAATTCTTTGAAAAAACGTAAATTAACAAACTCACTTAAGAAATTATCCTGCACGTATATTAACATTTAAAAGCTTTGAAAAAAATATCCAGAGCCTGCTGCTTTCACTGGCAAACTAATTCTATACAACTTCTTTCAGAAGGGAGACGGAAATACTTCCCAATTCATATATGAGACTAGCATCACCCAAAACCCAAAGCAAAGACATTAGAAGAAAACCACAGGTCAATAGCTCTGGTGAGCACAGACATAAAAATCATCAATGAAATTTTAGAAAACTGAATTCCAGAAATGTATTACAATAATATGGTACTCAACAAACAAATGCAAGGCCGTCTCAATAACTCATGGTAACTCATCACATTAACTCATCAAAAAAGAAAAAACAAATCACCTCAAAAGATGTAGAAAAAAAGTAAACACTTGCGATAGAAATTCTCAGCAAAGGTAATCACCCAAATGCTAGTTAACATGCTCCTTAACAAGGTGAAACTGCTCTCTCAATATCAGGAACAAGACAAGTCCCATCTCAGCACTCCTAGTCAATAGTTCCCAGACAGTTCAATGAGGTGAGGAAAAAACAACAGATTTAAAAGAACTATATACTGTGACACAACTGTCTATGTAGAAAAGCTAAAAGTACCTATAATAAAAATTACCAGAATTAAAAATTAAGGTTTCGGGGCTGGGGATTTAGCTCAGCGGCAAAGCACCTGCCTAGAAAGCGTAAGGTCATGAGTTCGATTCCTGATACCAGAAAAAAAAAAAGTTAAGGCTTCAAGATACATGATCTTTCTGGGTATGAATATTTATACTTATTAATGCCTTTTTTGTATTCCAGAATCAAATCTAGAATGTCACAGCGCACTTCTCATGTGTGGTAGTCTCTTCCAGTCTATTAGAATATATCTTCTATGACCTTGATATTTTCATCAGCAATGGTCAGAAATTTTGCAGTGTTCCTTAGGTTGATGTTTTATGATGATTAGCCTCATTTGGAGGCTGTAAACTTCTGTATTCTTAGACTAACTTCTAACAGTGAAAAAGAACAAACACTAACTCTACAGTAGTATAAACAGTATAGTATAGTATAGCGTAGTAGTGTAAATAGTATTGGCATTTAATGTGTTATGCAGCTTTAAGTTCTTAGTTGTGGTAACTGTTAGTGTGCTTTTCATCACTGGGATGGAAACATATGACATATACAACTTACAGGAGAAAAGATTTATTTCTGGTTCATGGTCTGAGATGTTTCAGTCTCAGTGGCCTCCTGGCTCCAAGGCTGAAATGGCATGGTGGAGGAAAGCTGCTTAGCATATGGCAGCTGAAAAGCAGAATGAGCAGAAGGGGCTAGCTGCTTCCAAGGAGCAGCCGCAGGGACTTACCTCTTTGCACTGGGCCCTACCTCCTGATAGCCCATTCAGCCATCAACTCATTAATGGGTTAATCCACTGATGAGGTTAGTGCCCACAATCCATGAGTCTTTGGGGGATAATTCATATTTAACACATAACAGTACACAGATTATGGTTATGTGTTACCGTTAGAAAGGCTAAGTGAAGGGTATACAGGATTCAGTGATAGCCTTGGAACTGTTCTATAAATCTAAAATTATTTCAAAATAAAAAGTTAAAGTTATTACCATTTGCTACTACTTGTTTAAATCAAAGGTTTTAAAATACTATAAAACTGATTTTAATTCAACATAAAGGCTTACAAGATGATCCAGTATGAATTTGAGTTTCAAGCTCAACAAAGGTCCACTGTTCATCAACAACTTCGTTCTAATGAATGCTATAAATTTGAACCCATAAAAAATACACTTATGCCAATATACTCATTTCTGTATATGTTTGGGGACCCATACAAAGGTTGTAATTGGAAAAAAGATCTGAAACTAAAAAGGTTATTTAAAAACATGCCATCTAGTGGTGATACACATTAGCAGTAGCATTCTAGAAAAATCAGTTTGGAAGATTAAATTAAGACAGATAGGGGCTGGGGATTTAGTTCAGTGGCAAAAAGCGCCTGCCTGGCAAGCGCAAGGTCATGAGTTCGGTTCCCGGTACCGGAGAAAAAAAAAAAAAAAAAAAAAAAAAAAAAAAAAGACAGATGACTGGATTCCTGGCTATGTGAGCAACCAGTGTATTTGTCTAGAAACTTTTTGAGACAGAATCTTCCCACGTTGCAGGCTGGGAGTGAACTCTTGAAATCAAGTGATCCTCTTTCCTCAGAATCCAGAATCTACAGACATTCAGGACCGGGTCCAGCCGTAAGCAGGATACTGAAGTGTATCAGGGGGATGAGATCCATGTTTATTTTTTCATATTACACCATATCAAATTTCACATTACTTCACTAAGAAAGTATCTTCACTATGGAATCTTCCTTGTAATATGAAATTGGACAACTGAGAAAGGGAGGAACACTAAAAAGCATTACAGAAAAGGAGTGCACTCTGAAATGACGGGGAAAAACCCAAAACAAAACGAAGGTTCCTTAGAGGGAAGATTAGCTTCTCCGCTTTTTACAGACACTGATGAACAGCATTAAATGAGAGGCAATGTAGGGAATAGAGAATATTAAAAAAAAAGAAAAAGAAAAGGAGTCAAAGGGCCTGGGGGGCCTGGGTCCCAGGCTCTACTCTTCGGCTCCAAGTGTGCAGTTCTCCAGAGTATACCGCCTGGCCCTGAACTGTTATACCCAGACCTACAGTTAACACTACACAACAAAAGGATCCCCCTCAAATTCTAGTATTGTACCAGGCAACCATGGTAGGAAAAATATTCCTGAATTCTTAATTAAAAATAACTGGCGCAATCAACTTAAATCAAGAAACAACAGTTCTTACCCTATTTCCTAGCATATAGTCAGTGCTCCATAAATATTAACTACTAGCAGACAGGACACTTAAGGAAAGGGTAAGCAAAGAAAGAATAAAAGGAATAAAATGTAGACACAGTCTAGAATGCAGTATTTTCTAGTACTAGTTGGGACACTGGTACCTATTTAATATCTTCCTCGTAAATGGGCACCCAAAACACTCATCATTCTATAAGAGCTATATATTCACTTAAAGAATGTTATTTTAAGGAAATCTCATTATAACCTTGATTAAAAAGAAGTACTGTATTCACATTCATTTTTATTAAACAAATAAGGCTAGTAGTGGAACTTTTTTATTTAATGCATAAACATATAACTCCCTTTATTGGAGAAATTGTACATATTGGTAAATATGGTCAATGGTCACATCTATGGGTTAATTCTTTAAAAATCAGAATCAATAATTAGGATACATTCTATGTTCTCTTCGTTACATTGTGAAATGTCTTGTGTAGTCATATTCTATTGTTGGAATGACAGCTTGTACAAATTTCAAAAAAATTAGAAGATACCTAAAGGTTTTTTTGTTAAGGAAAGTAAGATTGGCAAAGAGTTCTATGTTTTAAGGTTACACTGTAATTATCCATTTTAAAAAAGCATATGACAGAATTTTACATCAAATCTATTAAAAAAAATCTAATCATGTAAGTTATGCAAATTTGTGTCTATCCAACATGAGGCTCTCCACCACTTTAAGACTGCCTGACCACCTATCTCAATATTTGAATTTGAAAGGTTCTTTTTTTGGTGCTGTACTGGGGATTTCACCCAGTCTTCTCAGTGAGCTACACCTATACCCCACACCCACCTGCCATTTTAAATTTTAAAACAGGGTCTCACCAAGTTGGGAAGTTCACAAGCTAGGCTCATAGCTGCAATCCTCCTGACTCAGTATCCCAGGGCGCTGTTTTACAGGCAGGTACCCAGCACATTTAGCTGAAACTTGATGAGAAGTTCACATAGGCCCCATTACTTTGATATAAAAATAAGGACAATATTGTCCATATTTAAGTGACTATAAAATTTACTTATTTAGTTTCTTTACTGCTTTGAAGTTTGCTAGAACTGGTTAGAGAAAAGAATATGAGAGCACTGAAGCAAAAGGAAAGTTCATTTAAGTGAATCCCCTTCACAATGAGCTGAATCTAAGCTATAGATGTACTTGCCATAGAATATAATATATTGGACTGTCTTCATTAATACAATCGTGAAACTTTTTCTATATTCTACTGTACCTAGAAACATTAAGAGCTGTAATTTTCATGGGGGAAATTAATGAGAAATTATTATTAATTACATAGACTGTACTCCAATTTGCTACCTAGCTTCCAACATGTCTGTTTTACTTGAATACTTGAAATACTTAAAAATGTCTGTTTTACTTGAATAACCTTTTGTTTTAGTTGAATTCTTTGCCTCTGGGAGACCACAGGTTGACATAACCTAACTACTTTTAACTGATGGGAAAACACATTTTTTGTAATATGTTAAACTGGAAATACACTTGAGTAAGAGGTACCCATGTTATTCTAAACTAGTAGGTAGCCCCTGTAACAAGCAAACTGGTATGCAAAGGGATATATTCTAATCAACTGAATGTTACCTACCTATCCCAATAAAACATATCCGAAATAAAGTTTTCTACCAGAACTTCCAGGTACGACAGGCTAAACAAGTTACAGGTACTGTGTTTTTAAGGTTATACTACATTTCCCAAACAAAACATCCTAGGAGCCATTTGCTACCAAGCACAAATACAGGTAAGGATACATATGAACACCAAGCTCTCCCCCTCCTTCTGCAACTGTCTCAATGATCTTCTTCATCACTTCAGCATGCCTAAAAGCAAAGAACAAATCTCATTAGTGTGGCTCAACCAGTTCAAAACAGAAAGAGCACGATTTCATTTGTGAAGAAACTAACCTTGCTCTTGGTGAATTAACTTTAACATATAACAATTATATTGTACTACATTCTCCCCTCTACTCAAATCCGACTGTTGGGCCACGCACATTATTTTTTGGAGCGAGGGATAATTTGTAGAAGTTACCATACACAAATGGTATTAGTCAGCTTTCTGATACATGGAGACAGAAAACAAGGGAAGGGAAAAACCATGAAAAGGGATAAATATGGAACAATGGTGGTCTCTGAGAAGCAAATGAATCGGACTATGCAAATTCAAAAAAGATTAACAGTGAAAGTCAAAAAAGCAAAGAGATGTCTACAATCTTCAGATTCTGAATGTTTATATAGATACTTAGCTGAGAATAAGTCAAAACTGAAAAAATACTAGAAAAGCTATTTTATCAAGGTCAATAAGTTTATCTCTTTGTCTCAATGGCATAAAATTTATCTGATCTTATTTAAAAATAATTGGGCTGGGGATTTAGCTCAGCAGCAAAGCGCCTGCCTGGCAAGTGCAAGGTCGTAAGTTCGGTTCCCGGTACCGGAGAAAAACAAACAAACAAACAAAATAATAATAATTTTTGGCTTTATAAGAAGAAAAATATTTAATGAAACTTTTCTGTCCTATGTTTTTCATGCACAAATCCTTGGAAAACTGGTGCCTCTCTGATACTCCAGAAAAGAGTGACTTCAAAGTAACTGGGCACATAACAACCTAAAAGCCACCTTTTGTACATTCCTGGCTTAAATAACGCCCCGTCAGTTTTATGAACGTATCCTTCACGGCAGAGGCAGTCACTTAGAGGACCAGGGTGCATGCACTAGCCCATGCATTAGCACACTCTGAAGGAGAACACGAAATGGCCTCAAATAAACTAGAAAAGAGAAACAGGCTTTCTATAAGGTAAAATGTAGTAATGCAAAGGCTGCAGAAAATAAGAATATTAAGGCTTGTTTCTTTGCTTTTAAATGAGAAAAGGAAGAAAGGACAAAACAAACTCATCTAATTGGTCAATGAAATAGTGTTTTCATTAAAAAAAAAAAAGGTGCTTACGAGTAAGCTACCAGTATGTCTCAATGAACAGTGAAGGTACCTGTTAGAACCAACTGAAAGAAATCAATACAGTTCTTTTAAGGAAAAATTCTGAACAAATGTGTAGCGTTTCACTTTTCTAGCCCTGTGAAAACACTGACAGAGACAAAATCCCAAATTACAAAAGGTACTTAATTTGGTAAGCCTGAAGCCGCTGCAACCAAAGAACAAAAGAGTAAAGAAAGTCCTCGTACATTTATTTCCCTTCACTAACCAGAGGAGATAAAACAGGGAAAGTCCAAGGTTAACTTAATCTGCTACATGCACAAAAAGATACATTCACAATAGTGCAAACCTATCTAACCATGGATACTTAGGCCCAGAACTGCTCCAACCTGTTCTGCAAGCTACGAGAGGATTATGATCACACAGATCTACTTATAAATATACAGAAACAACAAAATCTTAATAATAAATAATAAAAATCAAAATAAACTGAAAATGTTTCCTTTCTCATATGTATAGTGAAGCACAAGACATTTCTAAGGAACATGAAAGAGAATTTTATTTGCTTACAAAGTAAAATTTTCTGTTAAGATCTATGCTTATAGATTTCCAAACAATAAATACATGAAATATACACATACATTCCCTCTCTAAACACAGACACAAACATACACCCACACACACAGACCTGCATGGGTGAACGGAACACATAGGAGGCGGTGGGAGGTGAGGGTGATTTTCAATGGTCACTGTTTTCTTCACATGATCTTGACTGATGTCTTCATACATGTGCTCAACTGTTAAAGGCTGCCGTTGCTGAAATCATAAAGAATGCTTTGAAATGACTCTTTACAAATATTTAGCCTATACCTCCGTGTTTATATTGTATTTATGCTCCTATCCTCACCATACCTGTAAATTACAATTTCAGACTATTCAGAACTTCCAGATTATTTTGAGTAAAGTTTACAATTTATATTAAGGCAGGGAGGGAACCGGGGAAGGAGTCTGCGTATAGAAGCTGTGTGACATCAGCTACCACCTAATGAAGACCCCACAGAGGCAAGCGTGTGGCTACTAACATATTTTAAAATTGAGTAACTAATTTTTTAGGCCTATTCTGTTTTATTTTTACAGTAAGAATTACAGATATTAAAAAAAACCTGATTTTATTTCAATTATCCTTCAATTCAATTATTCAAATGAATTAAGGGAAAAAGACAAGTGACATCATTTTGGAAAAGTTTAATACATGCAACACATATAATATACAAAATTTAGTAAAATATATGAAGTTCAATTTCCCCTACACTGTAAACGGGTAAGCTGAGAGGCAAACAAATACATATATAAACACAAATTACTTGTGTCTAATTCTTAATATAGTGTCTCACTGAATAATTTATTCAAAATAAAAATCAAGTTCAATATTAATCATACAACTGTAAAACAAATGATATCTAAGGTTTAAAACATAATATAGACCTACACACATCTAACAAAGGAATTAAACCCAACAATTTAAAACCTTTACATTGAAACGCACATCTTTTCATTTTTACCTCATCATAGCCAAAGAGCCATAGTCGTGGTGTTTGGTAATATTTATCATAGGTGATATATAAGTCGTAAGTTCTGGTCTGTAAAATAGCATCTTCACCTCCTGCATCAGTTTTAGCTTTACAAGCTTCTACTATTTTCCTTGTGTCCAGAGTAGCCTGGCACATAATGGAGAAAAATTTAGTCATTAAGTCAGTATGAAGGTGATATTCCAGAAAAATCTGTTTCTCTCATTCTATATTGTCTTTTTCTTAAAAGTAAACAAACTTACAATGAAATTTAATGTTTTATATATTATATAGAAATTTAATATTTTATATATTGTCTTTTTTTTTATGTAACATTTAATATTTTATATAATTTATATGTAAATATAATTATATTTACAGCAGTAGCTCAATTCATGAACTTATTCTCTCCATGATTTTGGAAAAGATGGCCACATTCTTGGTCATGTGGCAAAGACGGCCATAGTCATGTTCATTACCTCATGCAGAACTCACAAAAAAAACCAAAATTTTGCCCAAAACTTCTGTTTGTGAACCAAATTGTTCATAAAAAAAGCATCTGTAAACCAAGAAAGTACCACTGTATATATGATGTATATTTTACATAGAATCCAAACTTTATATGCTATAATCTATGTAAATAAGAATATAAAACTTTGAAAGATCAGTATGTCATTAATACTAAGAATACTAATTTAATGCAAGTTCACTAATTAAAAATTAACTAGAAAAACTCTATTTACAAACCTCATCTGTTTCCAACAATCCACTTTCTTCATATTCTGTCACAAAAAGAAATAAAGAATTAATCAAGTTTAAGAAAACTCCCTAAACAAAATTATGCATTACCTTAGGGTATCATTCAAAATGTGGGGTTTTGTTTGTTTTTAACTGAGGATACTTCACAGATATAAATGAGTCAATTCTGTATTTCTGAAATACTTTGCATAACAAAAGGCCAGAGAAAGTCAGCATGTTTAGGTTTGGTCTGTGTTACTCTGTTAGATACATCACTGGCATAATAATACTATATAGTCCTTAGTGACTGCTGCATATACAGGACTATTTACATATAACAGAAGTCTCTTTGAGGGAGAACTGGCTCAGGACTCTCAGAGGCTGCCTGAAACCAGAGAGTAGAGAACTGTATAATTTAATAGTTTTCATCTTAACTAAGCTTTTATCATACATGAGGGCTTAACATTAGCAGTCTGAGCTGAATCAACAAACTAACATAAAATTGTTTTCTTCTTCACAATTTTATAGATAGAATATTTATTCTTACCATTAATCTTAACAACTTCAGTGTACAGTATTTTTCTTTCGTTATCTAGTAAAAAACTTTTACCTTTTTACTTGAAGGAAAAACTTTATTGCATTTTCTTTGACATACCTGAATTGCCAGCACTACTACTATTTTATGTTGGGACTTCATTAAGTAAATTATGGTTACTTGAATAGAAAAGCATTATGATACCACGACAGTTGACCTGATAATTGAGTGGCTATGTACATATACAGTAAGGGTGGGCTGGGAAAAAACTCATCTCACATATGAAACAGAGAGGGATAGCATGAGATTTCATTGCATTATTCAGAATGCCATGCAATTTAAAATATGACTTTTTTATTTCTGGCATTTTCCATTTCATATTTTCAGACCATAACTGACCGTGGATAACTAACTCCACCACAAACAAAACCGCAGATAAGAGGGAAGACTGGCTGTCACAACATAAAATGTGAAAAAGTGTCCAGTAATTTCCACTTTGCTCCACTGAGTGGTAAATTCCCAGTTTCCATCTTAGTTGACCTCTCAGAAACATGATTTATTCTCTCCTCCTCGAGCACTTTCTTTCCTTGGCTTTTAAGATATTTTATTTTCCTGCCTTTCCTCCCACCCACTTACTGGCTGCTCCCTTCAATATCTCCTATGCTGGCTCAGGAAGGACAGAAGGAAAAAGGGAGGAAAGTGAAAAAAAGAAAAGAGAAAAGAAGAAGAAAAGAGAAAGGAGAGAAGAGAGGGGAGGAGAAGGGAGGGGAGGAGCTCTGCCATCATTGCCCTAGCCCAAGTCACTATTATTTCTTGCCTAAGATTATCAAAACAGCCGCCTGTTGTCTCTTTCCCTTCAATATATGCTTTGCACTTCAGTAAATGTCAAAGCAGGCACTCTCACTTACAAGAACCCAGCAATGTCACCTTTCTTACTCTGAACTAGTCACGAGCCACACAATCTAGCCCTTGGTTACCTTCCTGGCCATCCTTTACCACTCTCCTCTCCTTTCTACTCTGGATAGAGGAACTCCTTGCAGTTATCTTACACAAGCCACACCTGTTCCCACTGGAGGGTCTCTACGCTCTTCCCCGAGACAACCGATCAGCTTGTTTACTCGCTTCCCGGCTCTACTCAGGCGGCTCACTCCCAGTGGCGGTTTTTTGACCAGCTTATAAAAAAACAGAAACGCTGTACCCTACCCCATTCCTTATTTTTCTAACAATAATAAATTTTGTATTATATATTTTGCTTATCTATATTCCTGCTTGTTTCCCCTCATTATAACCTACATGCCACAGAGCATGCCTTTGCTTTCTCTCTCTAGCTCTGAGAAATTGCTGATCCAAATACTGTATTGCTCAATAAATATTTGTTGAATAAATGAATAAAAATTACTTTTTATATTAAATACCATGAACATGATTTTTGAGCAAAATTCCACATAGAGCAATTCTTCGATTATCCAAGGGACATGTAGCAAACACACTGAAAGGCTGTCAGGTATTTAAGGCAGTTCTACAGCCTGTAATCTAAAAACAGTGCTTTACTCACAGGGTGCTCTCTATCCATCCCCACCACAGAATGGACAAAGCTGTACGCTACTCAGAAACAGGAAAATCCACAAAGAGTATTTGTATAAGAGGAGGATGAGTTCAGCTTCTACCAACTGCGAAATACCCAGGTGGTAATAAAACTGACCAAATAGTGTTGAACTTGAGGAGACATAGGTGGAGGTTTAGGTACAGAGGCTTAAGCACAAAAATGCTATGTGAACCTGTTGTGAGAAACTCTGGTTACAAATAACTCAGAGTTCCTAAACGGAGTAGGTTCCCACGGAAATAAGGACAAGAATCTCAGTAAAACTTAGAGCACATGCACAGCTAAATTTTCATGCAGATTTGAAAGTAATCTGGGAAACTGGACTGAAAGGTACTTTCAGTCCAGCAGTTACGATTTGCCCTTATGGTCTCCAAATCTATTTGGCACCATCTTCTACTTTTGTATGCCACAAAATGTAACCATCATGTCCTAAAAAAGATGTATTTTGGGGATGCAGCTACCTTATAGATTCCAATGTCTACCCTATGTCTTTTCTCAAATCCCTTTCTTTCTCTTTCTTCCCAATCTCTAATATACATGCTGTCTTTCTGTATGTGTACACATATTTATATTTCTGTACATGTACACATATTTGTATTTAATCTCTCACAGGGAACTGGTCTCTCCTCCTGCACAAATACCCATGCCTAAGCACCATGTGCCATTAGAGAAGCCTTAAGGATACTTGAAATCTGGGGAAAGAAAGGAAAGAAGCAGGAAAGGAAGAAGGTAGCCATGAAATAACAACATTTAACATGCAGGCAGCAGAAAAATGCCCCAAAAGATGACTTAGAAAAAAATAGTCAGGGAAGAAGACAACCCAATGTCAGAGAAAGGCAGAAAAAAAAGACACAGATGACAGAATCAAATAATAAATAGAAGGTAAATACAAAAAAGAATGAATTTAATAATGAGGTAATCCTGGTGATGGCAATTTCTTCATCTATTTTTAAATATCTGAGGTTTCACTTGTATTATCTTAATGAAACAGGAAATTTGGAATTATTGTGTACTGACAGACTTGTATAACTCTGTTCTGTTAGTATAGTGAGTTTTGATCACTTATAATAATGATTTATTAATGCAATGATTCTGAAGTGGTAACCCTAGAAAGGGTCACTTCAAATCTTAGGAAACTCTGAGGGGAATGCCATGAAGTTCAAAAGACCCTATAAAGAATCACTATCTTGCCAGTCGTGGTAGTACATGCTTATAGTTCCAGCACTTAAAAGCTGAGGCAATCCCTTGAGTTCAAGAGTTCAAAGCCAGTCTACGAAATATAGCAAAATCAAAAAAAAAAAAACCAAAAAACACAAATTAAGGTTTTCATAGAAAGATATAAACAAAAAAGAGAAAGAAAATACGAAACACATGAACAAACTTTGTTCTGCTTTGGAATAATTAAAGAATTAGAATCTTGTAGCAATCAGCAGCATTTAAGATTTATGACTAATATTTATTGCAGCAGAAATAATCGCACCATGACTATGTTCTAAGTAACATAGAAGAGTTCAAGGTCAAGATTAGTTTTATACTAATGAAATTAAAATTAAACAGGACACCCCCTAAACCGGTAAACATTAAAATTTAAACATCAACAGAATAGCCAGGGATATAGATCAGTGGCATAAGTGCTTGCCCGGCAAGCACAAGGTACTGAATTCAATTCCTGATACCCCACCTCCACAAAATCAACAGAATGAAATTCTTAATCCACATGGATTACAAATATTTCTGAACCAACATCCTAATGAGATTAAAGCCAATTTTGAATATAAATACCTTCCATGTCTGCAGCTTCTCCTTCATCTTCCTCTTCTTCCTCTTCACACATTGCTGGACAATCTTCGAGTTTTATACTGTCCTTTGAAATTAATTAAAATCACCTAAATATTGCTTCAAACACTGAAAACCCATGTGCTACATAGTGCTAACCACTCAATGTGAAGGTGAGAATGATGAAGCAGTTCTGATCCTCAAGAAATTAAAACACAAGTGGGGATGATAAAGTTCTAAATTATGTGGTGGCACACACTTGTAATCCCAGCACTCTGGAGCCTGCGGCAGGAGAACTGCTGTGAGTTCGAGGCCAACTTG